GTTCTGATCCTCACCTGCCGTAGGTGTCATACTTGGGGAGAGGGTAGGGGTTATAAGAACAGGTTCCTGAACAAGACCCTCACCCCAAACCTTCACCCCAGCCACACTCAAGAGTATTTTTACAGGAAGGGCATCGGAAGCAGCGTGGTGATCTGCAGTCCATTCTTTCCTGAGATTCCGCTTGCGCAGTTAGCTGTTTGATAAAGACCCGCTGGCTTCCCCTCTGCCTAACAGCTCTTTGCGTCTGCTCCGTGTGCACGCCCCAGGCCCTGCACACCAGCACGTAAGAGACCGCTCCTCCCAGACCCGCGCCTCGTGGGAAGCCGCCCGCAGCAGGGACCACAGCGGCCCGTGCAGCACGTCCGCAAAGTAGCTGTAAGGCTGAGGTCGCCTGTGTGTGAACGCTGTTTTGAAATTTACGAAGTGATTTCTCATCCAGCAGCGACCCCTGGGTGTCCATGGTCTTGCATACGGCATGTTTGTGAAAGACTAGTTAGGCCTTCTGGTGTCGCAGTGTTTTAACCCTGAACCCAGGAGGTAAGAAACCAGTCTACGCCGTGGTATCAGCGACTGTGGGGTGTGGACGGAGAAAGCCTGGGCTGAAATTGTGCTGGTAGTTTGAAGATGGAGTGATTTAATCAGGGAAAATGTCCCAAAGAGAAACTTGAGCAGTGCTTCAAGAAACAAATGGAGTGTGTGTGTGTGTGTGTGTGTGTGTACACGTGCAAAACTGCAGGAGGGGGTTGTTTCAAGCATTAAGGCAGTTTGGACAGGCTCGGGAGGAGAAGGAGCGGGGAGCAGCTGGGAGCCTCAGCGAAATGAACGGTGTTGGCGTCAGGGCAGCACAAAGAGGACACACAAGAGGAAGGATGAGGATTAAGAGGTTAGAATTGCGAAGTTAATCAGCACCTTATTTTAAGGCTTAGAGCTGACATTTTAAATGGCAAAGATCCAGAGAGGCTGCAGAACGTTGTGCAGAAGTAAGATTCCTGCAGCCTTATAGGGGTCTTTCTCCACGCCTGTGTTTTCTAAGGGTGGGTGGGATATCACACCCCAGATCCGACTGAGCAGGAAACACTAGGACTCACCATCAGGGCTCATATGTGCCAAGGGCTTCGTGTGCATCGTCAGAGTTGATCCCCATGGAGTGGACACTGCTCTCAGCTCTGTTTCACAGATGGGGAGACTCTGGTACAGAGGGGTCCAAAGCCGCATCCTGGTTAGGGCTGAGATGCAGGCTCAGCTGGTCTGATTCTAGGCCTTAAGCTCCACGTCGTCGCTTCTTCCCAGACCTGGAGCAGCAGTACCCCCCGGGAACTGGTTGGAAATACAAATTCTTAAGCCCCATCCCAGACCCACTGAGTCTAAAGCTCAGGGGTGGGGCCCAGCAGCCCTTGCGCTAACGAACTGTGCTCGGAATGACGCTGCCTGCTGAAGCTGGAGAACCGTCGCTCGAAGCCCTTGCTTCTCAAAGTGGGGTCCACAGACCCCGTGGTGTCCGACAGCCCCCCGGGAGTCGGCTGGGAAAGCAGCGTCCTAGGCTCCACGAGACTTTCTGGATGGAAGTGTGAGTCGCCAAGACCCCTGGCGCCTCGGATACACCAGGATGTTGAGAAGCCCCGTCTGCCTGCGGCCAGGATAACGGCCTGGCTTCCCGCGGTTAGTGTCATCACTGCCAGACCTCGAGCAAGTTTTAATGAAATCGGGGCACAGGATCTGATGGGTGACTTCAAGAAAACACATTTATGAATGGACTCAACCTCTCTGCCATGCATGGAACATAATCACAAAAGCAGCAAACAATGGTTAAGAGCTTTCTGTTCTGCTTTTTCTCTTGAAGTTGCAGTTAATACAAACCCCACCCTCTTTTTTTTTAATCATTTTATCTTTTTCCCCCCGAGTCTCTGGTTTGGATGTCAGAATCATAAAAAGCTTACACTGTGCTAGCAGCAGGGACCAGGAGAAGTAAGCAGCTTTTAAATCCAAATGCCCATGTGTTGGTGAATACGCCTTCTCATTGTCACACGCTTTTATTGTACCACATAATAATAATAACATTGGGGTTCCATTTTTCTCTGTCCCCTTGTCCACACTAAATTAAGACTTTGGCTCCAGAGAACTTTTTAAAGTCTTCCTCTCTAGACGCACAGGGACCCTGGGGGTTTCTGCCTTTTAAGTAGCCGTGAGCAACTCCTAATTAGATAGATGACTTTGCGGTGTGTGAAACTACAGAACAGGAGGTTCTGGTTAAATTAAGGGGGGAAAAAAAGAAGAATCCATTCTGTGAAATGGAATGCCCCACTGCTTTATGACTATTACTGTTGTAAGGTTTTACATTTAAGTACCTGAGGTTTAAAATTAAATGTCTAATATCATTTGGCATTGCTAACGTGAGACCTGCATCTGCCCTTAGAGGAAATCCAGACAGCTCAGCCCAGGGTTTCAAATTGCTGTCTGCCGGCTCGTGAGCAGCACAGAGGATTGGGTCTCTCTCCAACTAAAGCACGCAAGCTGCTCAGCGTAATTTTTTAAATGCAGAAACGTATTCATCTTGAGCTTCTGCCTTGAAAAGGGCTATTCCAGTAGTACATGAAAAATTAATTTTTTTACATTTTTCCTCACTCTCCTAAGTGTTTGACAGAAGTAATTTTTGCAGCAAGAGAGAATAAAAACTGGTGGCTGTAAATTCCTGTCCTGGAACCTCTTGTATAGATTCTTTATGGACCCAGAATTGATCTACATGTCAGACCCTGTTGTGGTTTAAACTGTTTATCACCGTAATGGCAGCAGTGAGCCTGTGAACACCAACTTATAATCCTGGGTGAAAGAAATCGGTGTTTGCAGTCAATGAAGGGGCAGCTCAGCTTTATTGATAGATTCAGAACAATTATCTCGGCAACAACTATTGGCCAAGGATTCTCTTGAATCTTACTGGGTATCTGCAAATTTCTTTTCTGATTAATCATTTTCTCTGTAGGTAATTTCCTCTAGAAGTGTCAGCCAAGAAGCAGCATCACTGTGGGTAGCAGGGGACCCCGGGGGTCATGTGTAGTCTGCGTCGTTGTCATATCGTGCTCTGAGGCAAAAATGTGTTTTTAGATGCATCCCACCTGTGCTGAGGACCTAAGCCAGTGCTGCAGACTCCAGGCATCCGCCTGCGTGTGTTCCCGCAGGTCTCGGCGAGCCTGGTGGGCCTGCCCCACCATCTCCTGCCACTGCCAGCCTTGGGCTGAGGACCTCAACTGTGGCTGTTGCCGTGGGAGCCAAACTCACCCCTCCCCTTGGCTGTCAGGTTGTTCCGATGGCTCCACCCCACCCCCGATTGCTTCATTCCAACACTTAATCTTCTGTCTTGCTGGCTGGTTGTCGCCGTCTTGCAGGATTGCATTGCCTCAAACGACTCTCGGACATTTCACTTCCAC